GCAGGTAATTTAAAATAATAATAAAACACGAAATCTATGTTAAATCTATTATATTGGTTTATTTTTTTTATAAAAACATACATTAAATTTCACTTTAATAATACTGCAATAAAGGAAGATTTTTTTGTAATTTGTCGTTTTCTGAAGCAAAAACTCGTAATTGATAATATTTTTTTTTAAACGCTCTGCAGTTTAATTAAAGTGTAATAACAACGCAAACGATGGATGTCGTCTACATAATTTACCCCTTTTTGCCTATTTTTTCTTAATAGTAGTAGTCTTCTTTCGACAACACGATAGTTAAACATGTTTTCATTTTCTTGTTGGGAAAAAAAGACTTCGCATATTAAGAAAATATTGTCAAAATGTAAGCCCCACCCACCCACCCCATCTCAATTGTGATGATTTTTTTATTCATCCTGAGCCGAGGGGTGAAGCTTAGTTGCAAAATTGTCATTCCTCCACAAGAAATTAGCATCTGAAATATGTTTTCACAGTGTAAAATTTTGTAGAGGCATTTGGATTTTGTAATTAAACTCCGCCCCTCAATCTGATTAGGAATGAAAAACTCATCACAACTGAGATCGGTGCGGGTGGGTGGAGCTTAATCTGTGTCATTTTGCAATTAAGCTTCGCCTCTCGGCTCGCGACAAATAAAAAAAATCATCATAATGGAGATAGGGTGGGTGGGCGGGGTTTTATATTTTCCTTTTCTTTATCATACGTTGCTTTCTTTTCACAACATGAAACTTAAAACAAGTTCAAAACGGTGAATTCTTGCAGCGAAATATACATTTTGCAATTACGCTCCGCCCCTCGATCTAACAACGAATGAAAAATTCATCACAATTGAGATCGGGATGGGTAGGTCGTGCTTAATTTTTTGTTTTTAATGTATGTAGTTTTCTTTTGACAACACGATAGTTAAACATGTTTTCTTTTTCTTGTTGGTAAAAGAAGACTTCCCATATTAAGAAAAAAGGGACAAAATATAAGCCCCGCCCACCCACCCGGTCTCAATTGTAATGATTTTTTTAATGTATCGTGAATCGAGGGACGAAGCTAAGTTTAAAAATTCTCATTCCTCTACAAGAAATTTCCATGTGAAATATGTTTTCAAAGGGTAAAATTTTGTCGAGGAATTTCGATTTTGTAATTAAACTCCGCCCCTCAATCTCATTAGAAATGAAAAAAAAACTCATCACAACTGAGATCGGTGCAGGTGGGTTGGGCTTAATTTACTCAAAATGTATGAACACGATTACTTAAGAACATGTTCCACATAGCATTTTGAATTAAGCTTCGCCTCTCGGTTCGCGACAAATAAAAAAAATCATCATAATGGAGATAGGGTGGGTGGGCGGGGTTTATATTTTCCTTTTCTTTATCATACATTGCATTCTTTTCACAACATGAAACTTAAAACAAGTTCAAAACGGTAAATTCTTGTAGCGAAATATACATTTTGCAATTACGCTCCGCCCCTCGATCTAACAACGAATGTGTTAGAGTGAATGAAAAATTCATGACAATTGAGATCGGGATGGGTAGGTCGTGCTTAATTTTTTTGTTTTTAATGTATGTAGTTTTCTTTCGACTACACGATAGTTAAACATGTTTTCTTTTTCTTGTTGGTAAAAGAAGACTTCCCATATTAAGAAAAAAGGGACAAAATATAAGCCCCGCCCACCCACCCCGTCTCAAATGCGATGATTTTTTTAATGCATCGTAAATCGAGGGACGAAGCTAAGTTTAAAAATTCTCATTCCTCTACAAGAAGTGTCCATGTGAAACATGTTTTCAAAGGGTAAAATTTTGTCGACGAATTTCGATTTTGTAATTAGACTCCGCCCCTCAATCTTATTAGAAATGAAAAACTAATCACAACTGAGATCGGTGCGGGTGGGTGGGGTTTAATTTACTTACTCAATGTATGAACACGATTACTTAAGAACATGTTTTACATAGCATTTTGCGATTAAGCTTCGCCTCTCGGCTCGCGACAAATAAAAAAAATCATCATAATGGAGATAGGGTGGGTGGGCGGGGTTTATATTTTCCTTTTCTTTATCATACGTTGCTTTCTTTTCACTACATGAAACTTAAAACAAGTTCAAAACGGTAAATCCTTGTAGGGAAATATGTATTTTGAAATTACGCTCCGCCTCTCGATCTAACAACGAATGAAAAATGTATCACAATTGAGATCGGGATGGGTGGGTCCTGCTTATTTTTTTTTGTTTTTAATGGATGTAGTTTTCTTTCGACAACACGATAGTTAAACATGTTTTCATTTTCTTGTTGAGAAAAGTAGACTTCCCATATTATGAAAAAAGGGACAAAATATAAGCCCCGCCCACCCACCCCGTCTTAATTGCGATGATCTTTTTAATGCATCGTGAATCGAGCGACGAAGTTAAGTTTAAAAATTCTCATTCCTGTACAAGAAATTTCCATGTGAAATATATTTTCAGAGGGTAAAATTTTGTAGAGAAATTTCGATTTTGTAATTAAACTCCGCCCCTCAATCTGATTAGAAATGAAAAACTCATCACAACTGAAATCGGTGCGGGTGGGTGGGGCTTAATCTGTGTTTTTTTTTACTCAAAATGTATGAACCCGAATACTTAAGAACATGTTTCACATAGCATTTTCTTATTAACAATTAAGCCTCGCCTCTCGGCTCGCGACAAATAAAAAAATTCATCATAATGGAGATAGGGTGGGTGGGCGGGGTTTATATTTTTCTTTTCTTTAGCATACGTCGCCTTCTTTTCAGAACATGAAACTTAAAACAAGTTCAAAACGGTAAATTCTTGTAAGAAAATATGTATTTTGCAATTACGCTCCGCCCCTCGATCTAACAACGAATGAGAAATTCATCACAATTGAGATCGGGATGGGTAGGTCGTGCTTAATTTTTTTGTTTTAAATGTATGTAGTTTTCTTTCGACAACACGATAGTTAAACATGTTTTCTTTTTCTTGTTGGTAAAAGAAGACTTCCCATATTAAGAAAAAGGGACAAATTATAAGCAAGGTCTCAATTGTGATGATTTTTTTAATGCATCGTGAATCGAGGGACGAAGCTAAGTTTAAAAATTCTCATTCCTCTACAAGAAATTTCTATGTGAAATATGTTTTCAGAGGGAAAAATTTTGTAGAGGAATTTGGATTTTATAATTACAGCCCCTCAATCTGATTAGGAATGGAAAACTCATCACAATTGAGATCGGGGCGGGAGGCGGGGCTTAATCTTTGGCTTTTTTTACTCAAAACGTATAGTTTTCTTTAAAGAAGACGATTACCTTACTTAAGAACATATTTCATACAGCATTTTCTTATAAAAATAAGCATTTTGCAATTAAGCTTCGCCTCCCGGCTCACGACAATTGAAAAAAAATCATCATAATGGAGACAGGGTGGGTGGGCGGAGTTTATATTTTGCTCTTATATTATTTATATTTAAAAAAAATATATTAAATAATTTCAAGTTGCATAATAAGATATTTTGCTCAATATAGTTATGTTTCTTAAAAACGCTCACAATTATGTTGCCATCCAAGCTGAGCATTATTGAACAGTGCTATAATAATCATTACGCAATTTTTGGGTCATAAGTTTTCTTTAAACATTTATTACCTTATTTGCTGCGCTTCAATTAAAAAATCCTTTATTAAATGCAATTCAGCCACAGGTAGACATATCGATTAATATCAATTATTAAATTATTATTAGTTATATTCCTTTTGAAGTCCATAAGTCCTGAAACAAGCGCTTATGTAGCTTTATTTTGCGTCCCTTTGATCTAAAATGCATGCACTTCCCATCTATATAAAAAAAACAACATTAATGCAACTGCATTTGTGCATTTCACAGACTGCAGTCATGTCGGGCATAATCACCCAAAGTTTTCAGTTCAACTTGTTTGTGTTAAAAGCGTTTTACTTATATCCACCAGAAAAACAAACGTATTTATACAAAATTCGGACCTTAATTTTATACGTGTTGTGTGTGGTTGCTGTTCCTACGATAAGTATAATCAATTTAATAAGTTCGGAAGATTTGAATGTCGAAAGGGCCAACTATAACGCTGCTTTCTTGGTACAAGCGACAAGTTTTATCACGAAATTTCTACCTTTTGTGATACATGGTCAAAAGATTAAGAAATGCATTACCTACTTCGAAAGTTTCAAGACAGATAAAGAAAACCATCAGATGATCTTAAACGATTGTATCAGAATTTGTCGAAGAAATACTTTCGGTTTTTTTGTTTGTGTAGTTGGAGGTGGAATTAGTTGGGTGTCGAAACCCTTTTTTTGGAAGGATCGAAGCTTTCCGATTGATGTTTGGTTGCCATTTGATGCCACAACAAATAATTTTGTTTATTTTTGCGTCTACTTATTTGTAGCCACAGGTAATTTTCTACACTATTTTTACACAGTGTTTTTTTTTATTATTAATATTTAGGTCCACTTGTGTCTAGCCTTATAACCGGAGTCACTGACCCTCTTATCGCAGGTCTTGCGTATCATGCAACAACTCAAATGAAAATTTTGAAACATAATCTACGAAATCTTGGAGAAATCTTGCAAGTAGGGTCAACAGAATCCAATATACAAAAAATAATTTACAACGAAATCAAGAAATGTATTGACCATCATGAAACCATTTTAAAGTATAAATTTTTCGTACACGGTAAGATTAATTTTTTTTTAAATTAACTTCACAGGTTTGTCAAAGACTACGAAGATTGTTTCTCGTGGGTGGTGTTTAGCCAGATTTCAGCCAGCGTTTTCGTAGTATGTTTCTGCTGCTTACAATTAAGCAAGGTTGAAACATTGGATTATTATGTTTGCCAACTGGCTGCTTACTTCAGTGTTATTTTGACCGAAATATACTTTTATTGTTATTATGGGTTTACAGTTTCTGAAGAGGTAAATGTATTTATTTTTTTAACTAGGAGAAAACTATTTTGGTTTATTCCACTTTATGTTCTAGAACGACTCTTTAGCAGCTGCGGTATATATGACTGAATGGTACAAATACGATGTCAAAAATCAAAAAGCGCTGTTAACCGTTATGGAAAGGTCAAAACGGCCGGTTGTAGTTACGGTTGGAAAATTTGTTGACTTGTCTTTAATAACATTTACAACAGTAAGTATTCTTTGGTATATTCGTGCTATACGTAAGCATGTTTTTGCGTTTTTTTTTAGATTTTGAGGAGGTCCTACTCTCTGTTGGCAGTGTTAAAAAATTATCAGTAATTGAAAAATTTCCAGTGAAATCCAAGTTTATTGAAATGAATGTTAGGATACAATTTTCGAAAGAAGATAGATTTTTTTACTCCACAAACATCCTGAAAGACTAATATTAGTAATATTTTTAAATTTGTACGAGCACACACCTCCCTGTGGATACTGAAAGTTGTCACACTGTAAATGCACAAATCAAATAAACATCTTTCATTCAGTTAGGAAATGTTACATTATAATGTAGATATAAATAATAATTTTTTTAAATATATTGCACTCAAGATTTTGTGCTATATTTAAATAATAAAGAGTCATTCAAAGAAAAAGCAATTTAGATTCAAAAATAATAATTCATTTTAAAAAACCTGGGCCCAATTTCAGTACAATAACAAAAAAAAACACTTGGGTAATATAACTGCAATTTTTTCTAGGACTCCTCACAAAGAATTCGGGATAAAAACTACAAGACTTTTATGTAGAATAGTTTGTTATATCCGAGAACACAAAAAAATCGCAATACTTAATCTTCTTGATGAATTCACCCCAAGAACACAAATTCTAATATCGAGAATATTAAAAGGAAACTATTTATAAAGAAATAATAACATGGAGTTTACTAATTTTTTTTTCTCTTTCAGGAGGTTTATGTAAAATTGTGAATGTTTATTCTGTCTATAATTTTATAATTATTTATTTATTTCTGTTTGTAGTACTTCTTCAAATATGTAGCTCTTTCTTGAGTAGTTGTTTTATTTATACTCCTCTCCTATTACTTTTGTACACAATATTATAAATATATTTTTAAAAATGTCAAGTTATTTAATCTCTAAGTATAAAATAAAATCAGAGGGGTAAATAACACCTCCGTAACCCCTGCCCCATTAATGAAACTATAACGTAGCAAAATGTTAAAAACAGTAGTACTAAAATACTTATTTAATTATTATTAAAACAGACGTTCTACAATTTTTTTTGAAAATCTGCATGTCTAGCGTAAAAATTCAATACGGATTCAAAACCCACAGTGGCGAAAATATGTTATTTCATAAAATTTATTAATATTTTCGTATTCACTATAGCAAAATTTGGAACTGACGTCATTCTGTTTTGATTACCGTTAGGTCTAATAGTTTCAGAGACACAGATATTTTTTCGTATTCTACGTGTAATGAAACGTCGAGAAAAGATGTCAGTACCAAGTCACCCGATGGACTCGATGAAGTGCCTAAACTAGAATTCTCTTTCTAAGGTGCAACATATAACTTAGTTTTTTAGTGGAACATACTATATATTTTTAGATTTCTTAAATAGCTTTTTCTTAGATTTTAGCAGCATACTTTATTTTTGAAATTTTTATGATTTTTTTTTAATTTCTCTGACACCACAAAAATAAAAAAAAATGCAAAATAGCTATTTTCAATATCCGTAGATAAAAAAATTGGTCGAAAGTTCTTTCGGCAGAAAATTGAAAATTGGTCCAATAATTGGTGGCATTTTGTATATTTTTGTGTATTTCGATGGACGATTCTGGAAGAATCATTGCAGATATCGAAGAAATGAAAGCGGATTTAACTTCTGGGGCCCAAAATCTACAAGAAAATGTATTTAGTAAAATTTCGAAAATTTTTTGAAAATTGGTCCAACAATTGGTGGTATTTTGTACATTATTGTATATTTCGAAGGACGATTCTGGAAGAACCATTGGAGTTATCGAAGAAATGAAAGCGGATATAACTTCTAGGGTCCGAAATCTACAAGAAAATTTATTTAGTAAAATTTGGAAAATTTTGTTGAAAATTGGTCCAATAATTCGTGGTATTTTGTACGCTTACGAGTATGTATATTTCGAAGGACGATTCTGGAAGAACCATTACAGATATCGAAGAAATGAAAGCGAATATGACTTCTGAGGCACGAAATCTACAGAAAAATGTATTTAGTGAAATTTCGAACATTTTGTTGAAAATTAGTCTAATAATAATTGGTAGTATTTTGTACATTTCTGTATCTTTCGAAGGACGATTCTGGAAGAACCATTGGAGTTATCGAAGAAATGAAAGCGGATATGACTTGTGAGGCACGAAATCTACAAGAAAATGTATTAGGTGAAATTTCGAAAATTTTGTTGAAAATTGGTCCAATAATTGGTGGTATTTTGTACATTTATGTATATTTCGAAGGACGATTCTGGAAGAACCATTGGAGTTATCGAAGAAATGAAAGCGGATATGACTTCTGGGGCCCGAAATCTACAAGAAAATGTTTCTAGTAAAATTTCGAAAATTTTGTTGAAAATTGGTTCAATAATTGGTGGTATTTTGTATACTTTTTATATTTCGAAGGACGATTCTGGAAGAACCGTTGCAGATATCGAAGAAATGAAAGCGGATATGACTTCTGCGGCCCGAAATCTACAAGAAAATGTGTTTAGTGAAATTTCGAAAATTTTGTTGAAAATTAGTCCAATAATTGGTAGTATTTTCTACAGTTTTGTATATTTCGAAGGACGATTCTGGAAGAACCATTGGAGTTATCAAAGAAATGAAAGCGGATATGACTTCAGGGGATCGAAATCTACAAGAAAATATATTTAGTGAAATTTCGAAAATTTTGTTGAAAATTGGTGCAATAATTGGTGGTATTTTGTACATTTTTGAATATTTCGACGGACGATTCTGAAAGAACCATTGGAGTTATCGAAGAAATGAAAGCGGATATGACTTCTGGGGATCGAAATCTACAAGAAAATATATTTAGTGAAATTTCGAAAATTTTGTTGAAAATTGGTCCAATAATTGGTGGTATTTTGTACATTTTTGTATATTTCGAAGGACGATTCTGGAAGAAGCATTGGAGTTATCGAAGAAATGAAAGCGGATATTACTTCTGGATCCCGAAATCTACAGGAAAATGGATTTAGTGAAATTTCGAAAATTTTGTTGAAAATTGGTCCAATAGTTGGTGGTATTTTGTACATTTTTGTATAATTCGAAGGACGATTCTGGAAGAACCATTGGAGTTATCGAAGAACTGAAAGCGGATATGACTTCTGGGGATCGAAATCTACAAGAAAATATTTTTAGTGAAATTTCGAAAATTTTGTTGAAAATTGGTCCAATAGTTGGTGGTATTTTGTACATTTTTGTATAATTCGAAGGACGATTCTTGAAGAATCATCGCAGAAATCGAAGAAATGAGCGCAGATATGAATTCTGCGGCCCAAAATCTACAAGAAAATGTGCTTAGTGGAATTTCGAAAATTTTGTTGAAAATTAGTCCAATAATTGGTAGTATTTTGTACAGTTTTGTATATTTCGAAGGACGATTCTGGAAGAACCATTGGAGTTATCAAAGAAATGAAAGCGGATATGACTTCAGGGGATTGAAATCTACAAGAAAATATATTTAGTGAAATTTCGAAAATTTTGTTGAAAATTGGTCCAATAATTGGTGATATTTTGTACATTTCTGTAAAATTCGAAGGACGATTCTTGAAGAATCATTGCAGATATCGAAGAAATGAAAGCGGATATGAATTCTGCGACCCAAAATCTACAAGAAAATGTGTTTAGTAAAATTTCGAAAATTTTGTTGAAAATTGGTCCAATAATTGGTGGTATTTTGTACATTTTTGTATATTTCGAGGAACGGTTCTGGAAGAACCATTGGAGTTATTGAAGAAATGAAAGCGGATATTACTTCTGGGGCCCGAAATCTACAAGAAAATGGATTTAGTGAAATTTCGAAAATTTTGTTGAAAATTGGTCCAAAAGTTGGTGGTATTTTGTACATTTTTGTATAATTCGAAGGACGATTCTTGAAGAATCATTGCAGATATCGAAGAAATGAAAGCAGATATCAATTCTGCGGCCCAAAATCTACAAGAAAATGTGTTTAGTGGAATTTCGAAAATTTTGTTGAAAATTGATCCAATAATTGAAGATATTTTGTACATTTTTGTATATTTCGAAGGACGATTCTGGAAGAACCATTGGAGTTATCAAAGAAATGAAAGCGGATATGACTTCTGGGGGTCGAAATCTACAAGAAAATATATTTAGTGAAATTTAGAAAATTTTGTTGAAAATTGGTCCAATAATTGGTGATATTTTGTACATTTTTGTATATTTCGAAGAACGATTCTGGAAGAACCAATGGAGTTACGGAAGAAATGAAAGCAGTTATGACTTCTGGGGCGCGAAATCTACCAGAAAATGTATTTATTGAAATTTCGAAAATTTTGTTGTAAATTGGTGCCATAATTGGTGATATTTTGTATATTTTTGTATTTTTCGAAGGACGATTCTGGAAGAACCAATGGAGTTATCGAAGAAATGAAAGCGGATATAACTTCTGGGGCCCGAAATCTACAAGAAAATGAATTAAATGAAATTTAGAAAATTCTGTTGAAAATTGGTCCAATAAATGGTGGTATTTTGTATATTTTTGTATATTTCGAAGGACGATCCTGGAAGAACCAATTGAGTTATCGAGGAAATGAAAGCGGATATGACTTCTGGGGCCCGAAATCTACAAGAAAATGTATTTTGTGAAATTTCGAAAATTTTGTTGATAATTGGTCCAATAATTGGCGGTATTTTGTACATTTTTGTATATTTCGAAGGACGATTCTGGAAGAACCAATGGATTTATCGAAGGAATGAAAGCGGATATGACTTCTGGGGCCTGAAATCTACAAGAAAATGTATTAGGTGAAATTTCGAAAATTTTGTTGTAAATTGGTCCGATAATAATTGGTGGTATTTTGTACATTTTTGCATATTTCGAAGGACGATTCTGGAAGAACCATTGCAGACATCGAAGAAATGAAAGCGGATATGACTTCTGAGGCCCGAAATCTACAAGAAAATGTATTCTGTGAAATTTCGAAAATTTTGGTGGTATTTTGTACATTTTTGTATATTTCGAAGGACGGTTCTGGAAGAACTATTGGATTTATCGAGGAAATGAAAGCGGATATAACTTCTGGGGCCCGAAATCTACAAGAAAATGAATTAAATGAAATTTAGAAAATTCTG